CAATCAGATAGAGGCAGCAAAAGGGGGGAAGAGGAGGTACTTCGAAGCAGCAGCACCTCACAGCTGAGCTGGGGATCAACTGCCTCTTTGAAACGCTGGGGTGGCGATCAAAGGGGTAGCCCCACACAGCTGATCCCTGGCTCAGCTGTGCGGCGCTGCCCCTTTGAAACGCCGCCTTGGCATTTGAAAGGGACAGTGCCGCACAGCTGAACCAGGGATCTGCTCTGTGGTGCTGTCGCACGTGGAACCCGGGGACAGCTGGGGAAATGTCAGGTTGTGGGGAAATGCCACGTGGAACCTGCGTTCAGCTGGGGAGTCCCTTGCTGACGCCAGGCGCAGGAGGGTGCTGCCACTTTGAAATGCACAAGGAGGAGTTGAGGGGAAAAAAGTCACCTACCCCTTTAAGGGTTGCCATTTTGAATTCTGTTCTCCACTCTGCAGAATGTGCTGCAGAATACAGTTTAAGAAACACTGATCTAGGGTATATGTTTGAATCCTTGGGATCAGTAAGAATTTCACATATGGAAAACTGAGTTTTCAATAACATCTTAGTACAGTAGAACCTTAGAGTTATAGACATGTTGGAAGTACATTTCCAAGACAGCTCCCATTTGACAAAAAGGAGAGATGTCCAGGGCCACTTTTCAAACCACTGCCTAGACAGCATTTTCTGATTATGAAAGTGAACATCCCCAGCAACACCATATTGTACACTTTAATTGTATGGTTTGATTAAAGTTAGTTCATGCTATAGAATGCTGAAGAACAGGTATCCACAACACAAGGTACCAAGAGACTGACAATAGACAACATAGAAGGATCTCTACAGTTGGTCTCCCTCCTCCCCAAACCCTAATCCAATCTTTCCACCTACATTTGTGTTTCACTTACCCCCCTGTTCTCTGGTTCAGGTCTCTGTCCCTGCGGTCGTGGTGGAGTTCTCTCTCTGGAAAAAAGACAGTAGAGTTAGCATAAATATAGAGAGATACCTGGTACAGGCAGTCCCCGGGTTACATCAATCCAACTTACGTTGGATCCCTAGTTACAAACGGGGGGGGGCCGCATATAGTGCAGGGTGCCTCCCCCACTGTCCAGGGAGACGCGGAACTAGCACCCCCCCCCCCCCAGACCAGGGAGACGCGG